CCCGGGCAGGAGCAGCCCAGCCGGAGCAGCGGCTCCGTGTGCTCTACCGCAGGACCTGCAGCCACCACGCTGCTGAGGCCACCAGTGCCGGAGCACGGCCCCTGCGGAGCACCTCCATTGCCGTGTGTGCACCGTGTCCCTCGAGCAGCACGTGTGAGGAGGAGGTGACATGGACCCGTGGCCTCTCTCCTGCGGAAGGGTGCTGTAGGAGCCTCCACTGGCAAGGCGAAAGCCACTGGCACCTTGTTAGCACATCACTCTGGGATTCAGGGAAGCAAAGCCTTGCAGCAAAGTGACCAGCAGCAGCTCAGCAAGGCTGGCCCTGGTCCTGGCCCTTTTCTGTTGCAGCACTTCGATGTTAAGCCTTGGAGTAAAGAACTAAGAGTATCTATTTTGTAACCAAATGACGCAATTTTTGTATGCTTTTAGGCAGCACTTGCCATTGGATAGTGATGCTTTTATGTCAATGATTCTCTGACTTGCTATAGAGTTATTTTATGTTAAGAAGAAAATAAAGAGCATTCAGATGTGCCAAAAATGTGAGGTTAACTGAAGTGTAATTAGCTCTGAAAGTTCCTCTGTAACCTGCCTGATGTTACACTAGATTTCCAGAACTGCGGGTACAATGCAGTAGTTTTTACCTCTATAAAGTTTTAATATAAAGTGAAGAAAGATGCTTACCCTTAAAAAATGGCAATGCAGACTGGTGTGAACTGATGTATTTTATTAATAGATTCTCCTTGTGATGTAAGTTTAAATAAATTGTTGGGTTATGGAAGATTGTAACACACCTTGTGATGCAGGTCATTTCTCTGTGTATGTGAGGTGCTGAGTCCAACCTTTTGGAGTGCGGGAGGTAGCCCACGGGAAACAGTGCAGGAATTACACACATCCCTCTTGGACAAATCCACCAGAGAACAGCTGGAGTTAAGCACAGCATGAACAGTGGTTACATGCTTTTAGGGCATCACAACCTGATCTTTTAGGGGTCTTACATGCACAGATGAATTAAGCCACATAGTTTTTGAACCTGGGCATTTTCCTCCATGGCTGAGGAAGCAGAAGTGACACAGCCAGCAGTGGGTGACAGGGATCCCACCTGGATCTGGCACACAGATACTCAAACTTGCTGCCACACCTCTGTGCCTGGTTATTATTGGTGACCCCCATGGAACAGACCTCTTCTGTTTCCTGCATTGCAGCCTCAGCACAGAATAAAACAGAGCTCCCACCACATCCTTCCCTCACCCATGCCCCTGTAAAATGCTCACATATTGCTAATTATGCCTCAAACTACAGCCCTTAGAATTGCCTTTGCCATTCCATGCGAAGCTGGTGACAGCACTCAGCCAACAAAAACATTCAACCTCTATGAGCATCATTAAGCCTGAACTATGAAGGGTAACTATGTAATTGTAGCAGATGGTAGCATTTCACCTAAAGCAAACCCAGCTGAGCCCATTGAAACTTCTACTGGGAATTGTTCAGAAATGCCTGGGTACTGGCTGAACTAACTGGTTTGCACAACATTTGTGTTGCTCGTGGCTTCGCAGTGCACAGGTTCCTCAGTAAGGATGCAAGCAACTGCAGCCTAAGGTTGAAATGCTCATGCTCCTGCATGCAGGGCTCTAGGTATTGATGTTTAGCCAATGGTCTGAGGTAAACAACATAGAAAAACTGTGTCCAGTGTTCCTTTACTTGTTTTTATTCTGGATGGCGTTGCTGCTTGCCGGGTGTTTGGCTGTGGGTTTTACGTTGTTCCTTGTTGCTTCTGGTCTCTGCGGCGTCTTTTAGGAGCTCACTCCCAGTTCCCCGTTCAGCTCACAGAAGACAGCCCCACAGTTCAGCGGGAAGCTTTGGTTTAGCTTTGCCAAGCCCAGGCCGTTCTCCAGTGGTCCCTTCAGAGGCCAGGCTGGATCGCTGGGTGGCCAGGCCTGGGAGGTCGGGGTCCCCAGGCAAGTGACTGCCCCCGGCTGAGGCTGCTCTGTTCCCTCACCCCAGTGGTCGCGGCCGTTTGTTTCCCTGCTCATAGTGACGGGCGTTTGAAACACCAACACCGCGCGGACAAACGCCACGAACGCCCCCAACACACCCGGAACGCTCCGGCGGGGCGCGG